TAGACAAAAAGGGATACAAAGTAGCGAGATTAGGATGTGCGCATGGAGGCTGGACATCGTTAATGTGCCACAGTTTTTAAGCATGATGTTTTTATTATTATTATACAGGATTTATATGGTGCCAACAGTTTGCGCAGCGCTGTACAATATAAATGGAGACAGTACAATTACAATACATTTCAGTACAGAAAGAATAGGAGGGTCTTGCTCGTGGAGCTTACAATCTAAATTAAGGGGGAGGGGATACGAAAGGTGATAGCTACAGGGCATGATCTGATGGAGGTGATTCAAGTACAGGTGTACCTCGGTTAACGAACGCCTCGGTTAACATAGATTTCAGTTTACGAATAAAAATCCATTGAAAATAATGCCTTTTCGCAATACGAACGGATTCATTGGTTTTCAATACATTTACACATTTTTCTTTAATCACGTCCCTGTACAGTATTTATGCCTTTAAACTGCACTTTCTAAAGAGTTATGAACAGATAAAACTTTTTCTGACTTTTTTCTGACCTCCAGAACAGAGTAATTGGTTTTCAGTGCATTTACAAAGTCATTTTTAATCATGTCCCTGTACAGTATTTATGCCTTTAAAGTGCACTTTTATAAAGAGTTTTGAATGGATAAAATACTTTTGTTTAACTTTTTTCTGACCTCCGGAAGGGATTAACCGCATGCCGCCCAGCCACTGTACATATACGGCGGCAGGGCGGCACTCGCAGGCAAAACCACGTTTTAAACGTGTGTTTTGTAAACAAATAGGGGGTGCGTGCGAGGCGCACCGCCGCCCTATTTGTCCCGCGGATCACCGCCGCAGATGTCAGTCGCCGGGTCACAGCCGCTCCTTAGAGGCTATGTCCCGGCGATCGGCAGCAAACAGTGACAGAGAGCACAGCTGCAGTAGCTGTGCTGTCTGTCACTTCCCTGTCAGCTCGAGGATGAGCTGATCGAGAAAGAACAGTTTCTCTTTCTCGATCAGCCTTGTCCCGCCCAGTACACACCCCCTGCCCCTCCCCCTAGTAAAACACTCCCCCTCACTCCTATAACCCTTCCCTGCAAAATAAAGTTAACCCCTTCCTCCCCAGTGCCATTAGTACAGTGTCAGTTTTTTTTTTTTTTTTGCACTGATCACTGTATTAGTGTTTTTGGGGATGTCAGTGACCCCAAGTCAGTACCCCCCAATGTCAGAACGTCCGCCGCAGTCTCGCCATAAGTCGCTGGTCGCTGCCATAAGTCGCTGATCGCTGCCATAAGTCGCTGATCGCTGCCATTATTAGTATAAAAAAAAACCTCTAAAAATCCCAGTATCTTTCCCGCCATTTGTAAACGCTATAACTTTCACGTAAACCAATTAATTTACACGCATTGGGTTTTTTATAGCAAAGACATGTCGCAGAATGCATTTTGGCAGAAATTTATGACTAAATTTGATTTTTGCATTTTTTTTTACTGGACATGTTTTATAGCAAAAAGTCCAAAATATTGTTTTTTTTTTCCTCAAAATTGTCAGCCTTTTTTTTAAAGCGCAAAAAATAAAAACCGCACAGGCGATCAAATACCACCAAAAGAAAGCTCAATTTGTGGGGGAAAAAAAGATGTAAATTTCATTTATGTACCGTATTGCATGACCGCGCAATTGTCTGTTAAACTAGCGCAGCGCTGTATAGCAGAAAAATGGCGTAAATTGCAGTATCTATACCATAGTTTGTAGACGCTATAACTGTCACACAAAGCAATCAATATACACTTATTGGGATTTTTTTTACCAAAAACATGGAGCAGAATACATTTTGGCCTAAATTTATAACCAACTTTGAGTTTACTATATATTTTTTTTTAGCTGAAAGTAAAAAATAGTGTTTTTTCTTCAAAATTTTGGGCCTTTTTTTGTTTATAGCGTGAAAAATAAAAAGCGCACAGGTGATCAAATTACACCGAAAGAAAGCTCTATTTGTGTGAAAAAAAGGACGTAAATTTTGTTTGGGTGCAGCATTGCATGACCGCGCAATTATCAGTTGAATTAGTGCAGCGCCGAGTAGCAAAAAGAGGCGTGGTCATTAAGGGGGGTAAATCCTCTGGAGCTCAAGTGGTTAAATTGGTTTTCAATGCATTCCTATGGGAAACCGCATTTCGGTTTAAAACATTTTCACAATATGAAAAGTCCCGCAGAATGCATTAAGTTCGTAAAACGAGGTACGCCTGTACAGGTCTTAGGTGGAGGTGGGGTAGGCTTCCCTGAATCTAGGAAAGTTGCAATATATGATCTCCCAACTAAATATCATTTGACATTTTAACACATTCCCCTACGAAATTGCACAAGTAACACATATAACAAGAGACATTCATTTCCGTTATTTTGGAAGACATTATCCCCTTGACCATGACCCAGACTGAAATGACTCGCTGTACAACATACAGGGACAAACCATCTCTCCACAGACTGCGCAACAACACATTCCAAGGACATTCTAACAACACGTTCAAAGGACATTTTAGCAAGATATTCTAAGGACTGTCACTAATGGGGACTGTCACTAATGGGGACTGTCACAAATGGGGGCTGTCACTAATGGGGACTGTCACTAATGGGGACTGTCACTAATGGGGACTGTCACGAATGGGGACTGTCACGAATGGGGGCTGTCACGAATGGGGGCTGTCACGAATGGGGGCTGTCACGAATGGGGGCTGTCACAAATGGTTGAGATTGTGGATCCCCTGTGCAGCCTGTATGCTGGATGGCAACGTTATCAGATAGCACACCCATCCTAGCCAGTGGTGTATTTAGGGGTCGTGCTGCCCTTGGCAACACAAAAAATTGCCCCCCACAGAGAGAGACTGACATTGACCAACAACACCCCAGCTCCCCACCCAAGAAAGCCTTCCACTATCACTGCCCCCCATACACCAGTCGTCATCCCCCACAGCGAGAGAGAGATAGACACTAACCTTCCTTCACAACTCTGGACATCCCCGGGAACGAGAGTCGGGCTGTGCATACACCGCCATGAAACCCGCAGCCTCTCTCGGAACACACCAGGTCTCCATGCCGCGTGTGTCCCTTCTTCAATCCCTTCTTCCAAGGGGCAGTGCTGCCCCCCTGAAATATGCCACCCTAGGCAAATGCCTTGTTTGCCTTGTGGTAAATACACCTCTGATCCTAGCTACAGCTGATCTAGGAGGACAGGGAAGCAATGAGATAAGGGTCTTCGAAAGCACAGAATACCGGACTCACAGGAATAACAGGAGTATTAGGCTCCCCATGCACACTGGGGGGGGGGGGGGGTTTAATAATGCTGGTAACGGTAGCTGTGTAAAGTCACATTTTTCAGCTTTTTTTATCGTTTTTGCATTAGCGTTTTTTTCCGCATTTAGCTGTTTTCCCACGTTTTTCCGTGTTTGTGGTTTTTTAGCATCTTTTAGGTGTTTTTGGTAAAAAAAATCCAAATACGCAGTTTTGTGGCATTTTACCATGTTATGACTCATTTTTCAGCGTTAGAACATTTTTACAGCTAAAAAAACTAGTCCTGGGCTTTTTTTTTCAGCCAAAAACTGTCCCTGCCAAAAAACGTTGATTTCAGTCTATGTGTGTATGGACACTTGGAGAACATGCTGTGGGTTTTACTGGCTGTAGAAAAAAAACATCAAAAGCCAAAAACAGCCGCTGTAAAAACTAGTGTACCCCAGATGTACTGAGGGTACACTAGGAATCTTCTCAGGAAGCCAAGAACACAAAGATGCACTGGGGGTACACTAGGAATCCTCTCAGGAAGCCAAGAACACAAAGATGCACTGGAGGTATACTAGGAATCTTCTCAGGAATCCAAGGACACAAAGATGCACTGGGGGTACACTAGGAAACTTCTCAGGAAGTCAGGGACACGAGGAAGCACTGGGGGTACACTAGTAATCTTCTCAGAATGAAGGAAGCACTGGGTGTACACTAGGAATCTTCTCAGGAATCCAAGAACACAAACATGCACTGGGGGTACACTAGGAATCCTCTCAGGAAGCCAAGAACACAAAGATGCACTGGGGGTATACTAGGAATCTTCTCAGGAATCCAAGGACACAAAGATGCACTCGGGGTACACTATGAAACTTCTCAGGAAATCAGGGACATGAGGAAGCACTGGGGGTACACTAGTAATCATCTCAGAATGAAGGAAGCACTGGGTGTACACTAGGAATCTTCTCAGGAAGCCAAGGACACAAAGATGCACTGGGCGTACACTAGGAAACTTCTCAGGAAGTCAGGGACACGAGGAAGCACTGGGGGTACACTAGTAATCATCTCAGAATGAAGGAAGCACTGGGTGTACACTAGGAATCTTCTCAGGAAGCCAAGAACACAAAGATACACTGGGGGCAGGGGCGGACTGACCATTTGGAAACTAGGGCACTGCCCGAGGGCCCGGGGTCAGTAGGGGCCCCATGAGATACCCTTTGTACCTTTTTCATAGGCTTTTTTGAGTTTGGGCAAGGACACGGGGGCCCCATGATCCCCTATTGCCCGGGGGCCCCATGAGTTGTCAGTCCGCCCATGACTGGGGGTATACTAGAAATCTTCTCAGGAATCCAAGGACACAAACATGCACTGGGGGTACACTAGGAATCTTCTCAGGAATCCAAGGACACAAAGCTGCATTGAAGGTACAGTAAGCATCTTCTCAAAATGAAGGAAGCACTGGAGGTACACTAGGAATCTTCTTGGAAATCACTGGCATGGTCTGGCACTAGGAACACTAACTGTTGCTCAGGCAAACCTTGAATAAATAAGTCCAGCTTATAGAATGAGATGACCTGGCTGGGCTGGGCAAAAATATGACAAGAACATTCTAACAGCATCTTTCTGCAAAGTAATTTCCAGCAAGTAAGCGTGTTATATAAAGAACCCAACATCGGCAAATACTGTAAGCGCTTAATATGTAACCATTAGTAAATCATATACTGTATCAGTTATTTCTCTTCATAAAGGGGATCACTTTCTGGAAATGTTACATAAACCGAGAAGTTTCAGAAGATTTGTCGGTACTTCTCTGCATCTTGTCTTTTTGGACAAGGACCCGATGCTGGTTTACTGGTGTTTTATGTTCTCTCCTACACCCCAGCAGGCTATACACGTGTCTCTGCCATTGAGAGGATGCATAGTAATAGATAAGAGGATCCACACAACAACTGACACTGCCCATACTGACAGAGACGATGTAGACGATGTACAAGAAGTTACTGGCTCGTTTATAGACCTGCAGGAAATGCATCAACCAAATAACATTGGCTGGGCCAAAGCAGAGGATAGACACACACAGCACAACCACAGACAGGAGGATGGCTCGGGATCTCTTCTGGGCGCCCTTAATGCTCGGGGTGCTGAGGCTGCAGACAATTCCAATGTAACAGAAGGCCATAATAGTTAAAGGTAAGAAATATAAAAATGCGATATAAAAGGGGAAATAATAGTAAACATAAAACTTGTAAAAAGAATCGGCATCCTGGACATCAGAGCAAGTTGTGATCTTCAGGATTGGAAATTTTTGGGTTTGTTGCCTAATGAGAAGCGGCACCGTGCTGACCATCGATATCACCCAGATGCAGCAACACACCAGCCAGGCTCGTCTCACTGTGCGCCAGGGAAGGGACTGGACCGGGTAGACTAGAGCCAGGAACCTATCCACACTGATACTCGTCATCAGCAGAATGGATCCACGCATGTTACTATAAAATGCAGCAGTGACAAATTGGCACATCCCTTCCCCCATAAGCCAGTTACTTCCTAAGAATCGGTACACAATGTGGAATGGAAGAATACTAACAAAGAGAACATCGGCAGCGGCTAGGTTCAGCAGGTACACCACTGCCGGCTTCTTCACCTTCACCTTCACCAAGAACATGATGATCGCCATTATATTGAGCGGAAGAGCCACAAGGAGAACTATAGTATAGATGGAGGGCACAAGCTTTTTCAGCCACCAGCTGTTCAGATACTTTTTCAATGGAAATATGTAGATTTGTTGGGTTGAGTTCCTGTTAGGTTCTTTATCTGAAACCACAAAATATGAGCTGAAGTCATTGTACGAGAAACATTTTGCAGTATTTTTCACATTACAACAAATAGGATGACAGCTTCGGATCTCCCATGTGCTCCCTTTATGTTAAGTGCGCTAAGATCTGATGATGATTCCATTGTAAGAGGATGGAAACAGAAGATCTCTGGGTTTATGCTTCGACTCTAGGAGATTGGACACTAGGAATCTTCTCAGGAAGCCAGGGGCACAAGGAAGCACTGGGGGTACACTAGAGATCTTCTCAGAATGAAGGAAGCACTGGGGGTACACTATGAATCTTTCCAGGAAGCCAAGGACACAAAGAAGCACTTGGGGTACACTAGGAATCTTCTCAGGAAGCCAGGGACACAAAAACTCACTGGGGGTACACTAGGAATCTTCTCAGGAAGCCAAGGACACAAAAAGCACTGAGGGTACACTAGGAATCCCCTCAGGAAGTCAAGAACACAAAGATGCACAGGGGGGTACACTGGGAATCTTCTCAGGAAGCCAGGGATATGAGGAAACACTGGGAGTACACTAGGAATCTTCTCAGGAAGCCAATGACACAAGCACTGGGTATAAGCTAGGAATCCTCTCAGGAAGCCAAGGACACAAGGAAGCACTGGGGATACACTAGGAATATTCTCAGGATGAAGGATGCACTGGAGGTACACTAGGAATCTTCTCAGGAAGCCAGGGACATTAGGAAGCAGGAAGCTTGGGGTTTATGCTTCAGCTCTAGGAGACTGGACACTAGGCAAACCAAAAGACACAACAGACCTCTGAGTATATGCTTCAGCTCTAGGAGACTGGACACTAGGCAAACCAAAAGACACAGCAGATCTCTGGGTATATACTTCAGCTCCAGAAGTTTGGACACTTGGCAAACCAAAATACACAACAGACCTCTGGGTATATGCTTCAGCTCCAGAAGTTTGGACACTAGGCAAACCAAAAGGAACAGCAGTTCTCTGGGTTTATGCTTCAGCTCTAGGACACTGAACACTAGGCAAACCAAAAGACACAGCAGACCTCTGGGTACATGCTTCAGCTCCAAACGTTTGGACACTAGGCAAACCAAAAGGCACAGCAGATCTCTGGGTATATGCTCCAGCTTGAGGAGATTGGACACTAGGCAAACCAAAATACACAACAGACCTCTGGGTATATGCTTCAGCTCCAGAAGTTTAGACACTAGGCAAACCAAAAGGCACAGCAGATCTCTGGGTATATGCTTCGGCTCTAGCAGGATGGATACTGGGCAAACCATAATGCACAGCTGCTTCTAGTGGCTACTACCTCTGCTAATAGGAAGCAATCCCAGGAAGATCAAGTATTAAAGAAGATGACAATAAAACAACACTACATTGGAAAAACACTTTTAACTAAGGCAGACCTATCCATTAAAATGGTGGGCAGGATCTGTGTCCCCCAATGGACTACTGAAAAAAAAGGATAAGTTACATGTTGGATGCTGGGATGGGTTTTCAAGATCAAGGGGACCAGTAAGATACTAATATTCATATCAGCAGATGGGTTAGCCCTGTTTCTGGGGTTCAGCATGAAACTTGGGGATCTGTTTATAATTTCTTGATCAAACATGACAAGCATTGATATGGCCCTGACCAATTCTGACCTTATTTAGCTTGATACAGTGACTTCCTATGATCTTTAGCTCCATCTAATGGTCATAATATTTATATATATATATATATATATATATATATATATTTTAGTAAGTTTCTTAATCCGTTGATGATTAAGGATGGGCTCAGGTGTGTTTAAACTCACCTGAGCTGTCCGGCCAGAAAGTTGTCAAAGTTAACAGCCAATGGGTAGTGTAGGTATTCCCCGCCCTGCAGCCGCATGTATGCAATGGGTGTGCTATAGGCTGGAGAAAGCCTTCACTGCCCATGATTGGCTCCATCCAGACCCATATGTCTCTTTCTTTATGTAGGAGTACACAGCCCACAAACCATTTGAATGGCATATGACTGTTTGACAGCTTTGACAACTTCCTAGAAGGAGAGCTCAGATGGGTTTGGATTCATCCCTGAACACGCCTGGTGACATCCCATTAGCCAGAGTCTAACTTCCAGTCACTGCTCTTTGCTCTCCCCCCTGCTTTGGATTGGAGTGCTGGGCTGTGAAGGAGAAGGGAGCTGCTAGCTCAGGCTCCCAGTGGATCACTTAGAGGCTGAGCCAGGTGCCGCTCCAGACCCTGGAGTGGATCCTGACATTAAAGTCAGGATCAGGGGCGGGCTGACAACTCATGGGGCCCCCGGGAAATAGGGGATCGTGGGGCCCCTGTGTCCTTGCCCAAACTCAAAAAAGCCTATGAAAAAGGTACCAGGGGCATCTCATGGGGCCCCCTACTGACCCCAGGCCCTCGGGCAGTGCCCGAGTTTCCAAATGGTCAGTCCGCCCCTGGTCAGGATATTTCCCCAGCCTGGACCAGCTGAGTGACGCTACAGGGTCACAGGATCCACCGGAGAAGTCCAGCCAAAAGAGTTTTGGCTATACTTCTCCTTTAAGTTACATTTTTGCTACAGAATAAAGGAAACATTAAAAAACTTTTAATAATGAAGCTCCTTACCTGGATAGGCCATGGCCGCTGAAAATAAGAGAGAAGGCACAGAGTTAGGTTTGATCTTCCATCAATATAAAAGTCACTTCATACAGATAATGAGGAGTGTTGAGCTCCAGCAACCAATCAGATCTCAGCTTACTGTGGTCACATGGTAGAAGATATGATTTTTGTCACCTCTCACTTATTATCTCTGTGGGACAAATTGAAGATTCGCTTCCTTCTCCAGTCATTACATAACCCCTTGCTATCGTATCTCAAGAACCCAGCTTTTCCCCCAGCATGGTCATCGCCTAGCTCGTTCAAATTATGGACCTCCACAAAACTTTCTCCGTACCCATCATTTCTTGCAAAGGAACAAATTCAAATCCTTTGCCTCATTACAAGAAACACATAGCCTCCCAGCTTCGGAAATATTTCGATATTTACAATTACAACACTTTTATGGTCCCTACACTATAACATCTAACCAAACTAATACTATGTCTCCCTTTGAACAGGCCTGTCATAAAGAGCCCCATAGACGCAGCCTCATTTCATGCTTGTATTCCCTTTTTACAACTTCGACCACCGCATCCCCCCTATATATACCCGCAGGTGGGAAACGGATCTAAATAGACAACTAGATCCCTCTGATTGGGACCACATCTGGGTCAACACAAAATCATCGTCACAGAATATTGTAGCCTTGGAAACCAACTATAAAGTTTTATTTTTATTTTTTTCTATTTTTTTTATTTTATTTGATTCGTTGTATAATCTGAGGACCGTCTCTATCAGTGGTGGTCGAATTTCCTGGCATCATCAAAGGGCCAACCATAATATGCAGAAGCCATTGCAAGATAAGAGATACAGTATACAGTGAGGAACAGAAGTATTTGAACCCCCTGCAATTTTGCAAGTTCTCCCACTTAGAAATCATGGAGGGGTCTGACATTCACATTGTAGGTGCATTCCCACTCTGAGAGACAGAATTAAAAAATAAATTCAGGAAATCCCATTGTATGATTTGTAAAGAATGTATTTGTCTCGCACTGCTGAACAGAAGTATTTGAACCCCCTGCGATTTTGCAAGTTCTCCCACTTCTCCATCATGGAGGGTCTGACATTCACATTGCAGGGGATTCCCACTCTGAGGACAGAATTCAGGAAATCCCATTGTATGATTTGTAAAGAATGTATTTGTCTCGCACGGCTGAACAGAAGGATTTGAACCCCTGAGAAACAGCAAGAATTCTGGCTCTCAAAGACCTGTTACTGCGCCTTTAAAAAGTCCCCCTCTACTCCACTCATTCATCTCACTTAGTAGCACCTGTCTGAGCTCTTTAATGACACCTGTCCACCTCACAGTCAGTCAGACGCCAACCACTACCATGGGCAAGACCAAAGAGCTGTCAAAAGACACCAGAGACAAAATTGTGGACCTCCACAAGGCTGGAAAGGGCTACGGGGCAATTGCCAAGCAGCTTGGTGAAAATAGATCAACTGTTGGAGCAATTGTTAGAAAATGGAAGAGGCTAAAGACGACTGCAAGATCTCACCTCGTGGGGTATCACTGATGATAAGAAAGGTGAGGAATCAGCCCAGAACTACAAGGGAGGAGCTGGTCAATGACATGAAGAGAGCTGGGACCACAGTTTCAAAGGTCACTGTCGGTAGAACACTACGCCGTCATGGTTTCCAATCATGCATTGCACGGAAGGTTCCCCTGCTCAAGTCATCACATGTCCAGGCTCGTCTGAAGTTTGCCAATGACCATCTGGATGACCCAGAGGAGGCATGGGAGGAAGTCATGTGGTCAGAGGAGACCAAAGGAGAACTTTTTGGTCTAAACTTCACTCGTCGTTTTTGGAGGAAAAAGGATGAGTTGCATCCCAAGAACACCATCCCTACTGTGAAGCATGGGGGTGGTAACATCATGCTTTGGGGGTGCTTTTCTGCGAAGGGGACAGGACAACTGCACTGTATTAAGGAGAGGATGAATGGGGCCATTTATTGTGAGATTTTCAGCAACAACCTCCTTCCCTCAGTCAGAGCATTGAAGATGGGTCGTGGCTGGGTCTTCCAACATGACAACGACCCGAAGCACACAGCCAGGATAACCAAGGAGTGGCTCCGTAAGAAGCATATCAAGGTTCTAGAGTGGCCTAGCCAGTCTCCACACCTAAATCCAATAGAACATCTTTGGAGGGAGCTGAAACTCCGTGTTGCTCAGCGACAGCCCCGAAACATGACAGATCTAGAGGAGATTGGTGTGGAGGAGGGGGCC